AATTCACTTTCATCAAACAAAGTAGGTATAATAGCTAACAGAATCAAGACATCACTGAAAATAAAATTGTCCGGCATCATGCTCTAATCTGATTATACTCAATAATAGATTTAAAAAAATAAAAAAAAGTATGTAACTTTGTATCGTCCACCAGGTTCTATTTGAAATACAAGTGTCAAATACTGACATGGTCATTATAGGGGTGGATCTTATTCACGCTGACAGTGAAGGTGATAGTCTAAAAGACTGATTAAACTAAGCCAATGATTGGCTTAGTTCAAAATGTGAAAAGTCGTACACATTATTATCTTCATACTTTGATCTTGTGCTGACATATGGTATTGAATGTGAAGAAATATTTCTTCACAACCATGTCCTTTCTCACCACAGTTTAGAACCCTTCAAAGTTACTTTAACAGAGTTCTCCTCCCCAAAAAGAAGGGTTCACTTTAGCAGATTATTAGATAATGGAGTTATACATTTTAAGGAATCTGTTCTGTTTGTTTTTATGTTGTCTGTATCACTGATCAATAATTCAGAGGGCAACCGTTTAATTTACAGTATGTCCACTCACAAACTGATAATTTTGTTGAGGGGTCTGCTAGTTCCATGTATAATAGACAATGTAGCCACTTAGAAAAAGAAAAACTTTAAAAATAGAAAGCTGGCTCCCTGGTTTAATGTAGAGCTGAGCACTTTGAAGCAACATGCTTGAAAACTGGAGAGAAAATAGCGCTCTTCATGTCTACAGGAATCCTACCTAGTCTGGAAAAAACAGTACACTGCTGTATAAAATGTCCCTTCTTTAAACTAGAGCAGCATATTTTTCTTTGTTGATAGAGGAAAATGAGAATAACACTAGAATTCTTTTTAATACAGTTGCCAAACTCCCCCATAACCATAGCTCTGTTGAACCATCCATCCCACCTACTCTCTGCTGTAATGATTTTGTGGACTTCTTTGTAAAAATGCTTACTCTATTAAAAATAAGATCAGTGGCTACCCTCTAAGTATGATTGGTTTATCTCTGAAAGGTGAGGCAGCATCTGAGGTAGCCATAGAATCTGAACCGGGTTTACTGTAGACTGCTTTGATCCAGTTGAAGTTAGCAAAACTATTGTCTTCATCTAAGCCTTCAACTTGTATGTTAGAGCCAGTTCGAACCAGGTTATTTAAGGAAGTATTACCTCTGATTTCCTCCTTTATTTTAGATGTGATTAGTGTGTCCCTGTTACAAGGATACGGTATGTACCTAAGACTTTTAAGGAAGCTGCAATTAAACCTTTATTTAAAGGAAAGCTCTACTCAGCAAGGAATAATCAATAAATCATTATCTATACCTAAAACTAATACCTTCACTGTGATTTAATGAATTTAGAGTTAATCAGTAAAAAAATTAAAATAATTATTTTTGTTGCGATCACTGAGTCTGAGACTGGCCATTTTTGCCCAAATATAGTAACACCTCATTCCTGACATCTTCTGGCAGTGACATCACGGTAAGGTAAGCCTAGCGTCTTTCTCCCCCCACACAATCAACAACAATTAAGATTTTTAAAGGACTTTACTATTGAAATTTGCGAGACATATAATTAAACTGCCCACGATCATGACATTTGGATGTTGTAATACATCGGGTAAAAGTGGAAAAAAAACTAACAAAAATGACTTACTTCACCTTTCCGATTCATGATCCTCCAAGGACGGGTTCGGCGTTTTATTAGTAATTTGAAGAGGCAGGATTTGCAATCGAACTTCTGGCCAGAGAAAAAACCCTTAATATGTAGCCATCATTTCGAAGACAAATGTTTTCCAGATGGCTTGGATAATAGCGCGTTGTCACAAACACCATATAGAGCATTGGGACTTGCTGAACAGCTGATACTGCACCGTGACATCACAAACCAGTAGGTGGCAGTAGTGTTCTTTGATAAACATGGATGTCTCCGGTAAAGCAGATTCAAATGAAATTACCCTTGATTTAAAACACTTATCATTTATTGAACAGTATGTAATAGTTTCATATTTAAAGTACTTTCAGAAGTTTGAATTCTGAATATGACCGGACTTCTCCTTTAGGTAACAGTCTGTTTACACAGATGACATTTTCAGTTGAAGACATATTTATTTTTCATTTCTTATCTAAAAATCTTGAGACAATAGTTGCCAAACAAGTGTGCGACCACTTGCACCATAATGAAGTTTTTGAAGAGTTTCAGTGTGGCTTTAGCGCTCATAATAGCACTGAAACAGCTCTGGTGAAAGTCTCTAATGATGTTCTCATGCCTTCAGATAGTGGACTTGTATCCATACTTTTATTGTTAGATGTTAGGGCGACATTTGGTACAGTTGATCATTTCATTCTTTTTAGAAAGGAAATAAGGGAACAGGCTGGTTTAAATCTGGATGACTCATTCTGACTGCTTCTGAATGCAGACAAAACTGTTATTGTCTTTGGATCTGTCATTTAAATCCCCTATCAAAAAGTTTCTAGAATTTCCTTTCTTTCATTTGCAATTAGTAATATCCTGTCCAGAGGTAATGCTGAGAAATTAGTTCATGCATTTGTTGCTACAAGGCTGGACTATTGTAATTGTTTACTATAAGGAAGTCCACCAACTGTAGTTAAAAGCCTTCAGCTGATCCAAAATGCTGCAGCCAGAGTTCTGATGAATATTAGAACTCTTATATCAGCGATATGATTGTTCTTTATGTTCCCAACAGAGCACTTCGCTCTCAATGTGCAGATTTAATTGTGGTTCCTACAGTTTCTTAAAGTAGAATGGGAGGCAGATCTTTTAGTTATCAGGCTCCTCTCCTAAGGAACCAACCACCAGTTTTAAGCTATGAGGCAGACACCCGGCCTACTTTTAAGGGTAGGCTTAAAACTTTCCTTTTGGATGAAGCTCGTAGTTAGAGTGGCTCAGGTTATACTCAGTCATGTTCCTATAGGCTTACTTTTCATCATTCTGCTTCATTCTATCCCTGTTCTCCCATTCTAAAGTATTTTGTTAGTTCATTTTCTAGCTTTTTACTTTCTTTGCTATTTTTTTCCCATTGAAGCAACTAAATCTGGCCTGTTCCTTTTCGACTGTGACACCATACTGGAGAGAAAAAGATGCATGGCAGCTACCATCAACACCTGTTGGAGCTTGGCCTTTTTTCAGTGTAGTCCTGTTTCTCTTACTATGTTTTCTTTTGTCCTTTTGGGAGAAACGATGAGCTGAGCAAAAATACATAGAGAATAATTTGAAATAATAGCCTTACTAATCGTCTTTCATTTTTGTTATTGGACAAAATGTGAATGACGAGATTAAACTGAATTAAATGGACATATTTTAAGGAAAGTTTTATCAATTCACCTAAACTGAGGTTCTGTTCTACTTTGGTTAAGTATGAGTATACATAATTAAGTTATAATTATATCATGGCTGACAAGTAACCTACATTCTGTCTTTCTTCTAAACTTTGTAGGTTTTTCATAATTATCACAAATGTGAAACATTCTCAAGCGAAGACAAAACATAGATAATTTCATTGTGTAAGGCTGCTGATTTTGCATGGAACAGCGTGTCAGAACATCACATGGGGTTTTTAATATGACTTTCAGGATGTTCCATCAGAGTAATTCAGAATTCCA